AAGAAGTACAGCCAGAATGCTCCTTAGAAGCAAGTATGGCGAGACTACATCTCACATATTTCGGACATGTTTTCAGGAGGGACAGTCCCTGGAGAAGGACATCATGCTTGATAAGGTGGAGGGTCAGCAAAAAAGAGGAAGACCCTCAATGAGATGGATTGACACAGTGACTGCAACAATGGGTTCAAGCGTAACAGTGATTGTGAGGATTGCACAGGACCGAGCAGTGTTTTGTTCTGTTGTACATATGGTCGCTATGAGTCGGAACCTACTAGACGGCACCTGACAACAAGACTGAATTGTCACTTTCTTAAATAAGGACTCAAAACTATCTGTAGAAAATGAGCGGTTTATATGTGATTGCTCAATGTTCACTTTATGTATTGGGTCTTATTTAAAATGTAAAACGCTAGTCACTTCTTTCAGTTTTTACACCCCTGCAGCTTTCTGCCTCTCTCTAGTATGACTGTCTGCTGTTTTTTGCTCACCTTACTCCATCTTCTGGATGGTAATGAGGGAAAAATCTACCTTCTTCCCTTCTGATGGGACAAATAATTTTCTGATTGTGATTTTTTGTTGAATATTGGCAGAAATCTGGATACCAGAACATTGCCCATTAGGCTGTTGAACAGCTCAAGGATGTCATTGTTTAACATAAGGGTTTAGTATTCTTGCTTTGCTGCCATTAGCAAAGACCATTCTTCTCTTTGTGTTTCTTTTCTGTTACAAATTTTTAAAAAATTTCAGTTTTTATAATGATGTCATATCATCTTTTCTAAAGAACTGAGATAATTGTGAGGGGAGGGGCCAGAGAAAGTTGAAATAGTCTAAAATTCCTCTCATTCTGCCCTTCATTCTAACCTTGATATATGCAGAGATTTTAAGTTTTTTCTTTTTTAATATGCTATTTTTGATGCCAGTGAACATTAGCATGATTTTCCAGTCAAGGTTTTTCACCCTGAAGTGTCCCAGGTAAGACCTGGTATATGAATCATATGTCTAAAACGGAAACTCATGGAAGTATGTGTGCAAGCTACGGGGCTCATTTGTCTTTGGCAAAGACATTGCTGCTCCAGTTTCCTTAATTATTAAACAGATGGTGCCCCCTGCCACTGACTAGCTGCCCAACTTGTTCTCCATGTGGTAGCACAGTTCTGACATCTGACAGAGAGAAGCTGTACTGTCACAGTGCCTCATATCCATTTATGTCATGACATTAATATTAATACCTGCCCTAACCAGAGCAGGCTGTTTCCCATGAAGCTGAGTCTAAATCTACGACTTAAGCCATCTTCTCTTCTCCAACCTCCCTCTCTATCCCCTGCACCCCTACCAGGAATTAATTGTATCTCAAGTATCTTCTTTTGGCTTTTCTTTATATTGTTTCATTTCTACACACAAAATACAGGGGCACACTGAACCAATTATCCAAATACTGTCGGCTATAAACATACCTTAACCTGGTATGTCATGATAATTAAGACAAAAATGGATAATTATTAATATTATTATTAGGGCAAATGACATGTAAGGTAACCATGTATTTTAAAAGGGAATATTAATGGACATAAAAAAAATAAAAAAAAATATTGAATTATTTTTTGAATCTGCCAAAAAAAAAAGTAGTTCTAAAAATTTCCCTTAGTTTCTCCAGTACCCCACTGATACAGCACATAAACAGTGTACCCTGTATTCATGAATATCTAGGGTCCTCATTTTTTTTTTCTCATAATCTTTCTTCATTGTAGACACAGAATTTAACAGCCACAGGACAGTCTCCTAAATTCTTTCCTAGTGTAACCCACCTATCTTCACCTCCCCTTGAGATGGTCTTTTATATTACTTTCTGGTGACTATAGGGCAGTTCTACTCTGTCCTATAGGGTTGCTATGAGTTGGAATCAACTCAAGGGCAATGTTTTTTTTTCCTGATGACTGTGTGGGTTTCTTAACTTTGTAAATCTTAAGTCTGTGTACACCTAATCCCAATGCAATTTTACTAGCACTCTATAGTCACCTAATCCCAATGTAATCTCAACACTTGTTCACTAACACTCATAAACTGGATTTTTAAAAAGTTACAAACAAAATTTTTTTCAAAACAGATGACTCCCCTCCTCCTTCTCACTAATAATGCTATTGTGGTCTGGGGAATTTATTGAGATTTGGACCAACGGGAAAGGCTTGGGTTGTCTCTTGAAAACAGACCTTCCAGCAGGGGCAGCCAAAGCATTACAATGCCATCAGAGATTGGTTTGCTATTGTAACTGACTTAAGAACCTATGAGCATCTTTGAATCACTCAGCCAGTAGATGTGGCTGTCATTTCTAACGACTGTAGGAAGTGTGCTGGCTCCCAGCTCCTGCCAAGCAGCCAAATACAAACCTTTTTTTTTTTTTTTCCTCCAAAATCCTAGGAAGCTCACTCCGACCATTCGCCGCAGACCCCCGCGCCTCTGGGCTCCAGCAAGCTGGGCCGTGGACTGGCCGAAGCCGCCCCCTGTCTAGCATGCTCCTTGCGCGGGCCCCGCTACGGGAAAAGGAGCAGTCGAGCTGAGAGCAGCGCCTCCTCCGGGGGAGGGGGTGGGAGCTCGACTGAGAAATCTGTCCGAGGGAGTTGCCTTAAAGAAAGGAAAAAAAAAAAAAAAGGAATTGTTGATCACTCCAGTCGCCTGCCCTTTTATACAGTTTTAAGCAATAGTCTCCACTCGCTTCTCTTCTGCAAAACTGCAAATCAGCACCAACCTTGCACTAAAAAGAAGGAGAGAGAGAGAGAGAGAAAAAAAAAGCAAATCTCACTCTTTCTCACCCTCCCTTTCCCCTCACCCTCCCTTCCTCTCCAGCTCTCTCCCTTTCTCTCCCTCCCTCCCACCTCCTGAGGCAGCCGCTCAGGTCCCGGAGTGTGTCTCTCTCCGACGGGACTTAGCAACTTCTTGATAATTTCTCAGTCCGTTTTCCATTTTTTCCACCCTTTGCCATGAACTGGACATACAGACGCGGGGGAGGCTTTGCGTTCAGCCCCAGGGAATGGCAGTACGCGTCCTGGGGCCGCTCCGGGGAGGATCCGCCGAGGAGAAAGAAAGAGTAATAGAGAAAGAGCTGCTGGAAGGAAGAGAAGGGGGACCTCCATCTGCCGCGGGCCCGGCGCGCAGCCCCGCAGCGCCGAACGGCGCCCGGGATGGCCCCGAACTCGCCCTGCGCCCCCGACTCCTCCAGCGCCTGCGGCCCGGGTGCGCGGGACGCAGTGGGCAATTTTTAATATCCTGAAGTAGGAAGAGGCCCCGGAGGGTATAATTTGGGGGTGGGGTAAAGCAGAGCATTTTAAGAAGCTTTTCAAACAGAGAAAAGGGAGAAGTCTGATCTTTTCAGCCTGTGCTAGCTTTTAACTTAAAGGAGTCTCTTTTGGAGCATCTAGTATTGTCCAGCAGTTATTCGAAAGCTGAAACTTTCTGTGACTCTTGGGCCTGGAAAGAAGGAGGGATTCAGAGGGTGGGATTGGGAAGAGCTCGCGCGTGTGTGTGTGTGTGTGTGTGTGTGTGTGTCGGGGTGGGGGCGTCGGGGCGGCCTTGGGGAGTCCGTGAAGAGGGCACACGATGGCAGTGCCCGGCGAGGCCGCCCCAGTCAGGGACAAGCCCGGCCACGGTGGGGCGAGTCAAACCCCCGCGGCGGGCCCAGACTTCCACGGTCGTGCCGGCCCCGCGTCACCGCGGGACTCGGGCTGCAGCGGCTGCTGGGGAGACCTGGTGTTGCAGCCGCTCCGGCGCTCCCGGAAACTTTCCTCGGCTCTGTGCGCGGGCTCTCTGTCCTTTCTGTTGGCGCTGCTGGTGAGGCTGGTCCGCGGGGAGATCGGCTGTGACCTGGAGCAGAGTAGTGAGGAGGCGGCGGTGGAGGAAGCGGCCCGGGGAGCAGAAGGGGGCGTCTTCCCAGGGCCTCGGGGAGGTGCTCCCGGGGGCGGCGCGCCGCTTAGCCCCTGGCTGCAGCCCTCGGCGCTGCTCTTCAGTCTCCTGTGTGCCTTCTTCTGGATGGGCTTGTACCTCCTGCGCGCCGGGGTAAGCCTGTCTCTGGCCGTCGCGCTGCTGGCCGCCTGCTGCGGGGGAGAAGCGCTCGTCCAGATTGGGCTGGGCGTCGGGGAGGATCACTTACTCTCGCTCCCCGCCGCGGGGGTGGTGCTCAGCTGTTTGGCCGCCGCGACATGGCTGGTGCTGAGGCTGAGGCTGGGCGTCCTCATGATCGCCTTGACTAGCGCAGTCAGGACCGTGTCTCTCATTTCCTTAGAGAGGTTCAAGGTCGCCTGGAGACCTTACCTGGCGTACTTGGCCGGCGTACTGGGGATCCTACTGGCCAGGTACGTGGAGCAAATCTTGCCGCAGTCGGCGGGGGCAGCTCCGAGGGAACATTTTGGGTCCCAGCTGATTGCTGGGACCAAAGAAGATATCCCGGTGTTTAAGAGGAGGAGGCGGTCCAGCTCCGTGGTGTCCGCCGAGATGTCGGGCTGCAGCAGCAAGTCCCATCGGAGGACCTCCTTACCCTGCATACCGAGGGAACAGGTAAGCTCTGGCGGTACCTCTCTCACCTCTGGGGAAAGCTTGAAACACTTGGGAACGCGTGCGGGGTGGAAGGGAATCCAGCGCTGGGAACTAAAAGGAAGATAGCCTAGAAAAGTGGTGTAACTTGTGACTTAGGAAACGAGCGGGTTTTTCTTCCCCTCTCACAAAGTATTTTATAACCTGAACAACAGAAACAAACAACAAAATAGATGGCATTTTCAGGGTCACCACAGCTGGGCCAAATTTTTAGATCTGTTAACACCTGGCGTGTGACTTCACTACGCTTTTAAGTACTCTCACACTTTTCCTCTTTTAGCAGAAATTTTAGAATTAAGTTTAGTTTTTAGTAGTGAGTGATTTTTCAGCTGGTGGATTTCACTAGATTTCTTTTTCTTTTTATAAAATATCTTTCTCATAAAGTGACAGGTAAACGTTTATGAGAATCAGAAAAATAATTCTAGAGCAAAGCAAGGCATCCTTGAAGGTGAGGTATTAACATATACTTTCCAATTTTGCAGCAAGTCTTACTTGGAGAGATTGCGTCTGATGGTGCCCGGTTTGTTTTTAGATGTAATTTGGGAGTATATGTTATTACATGCTAGTGTGCTTTGTATAATAATCCTAAATATTAATTTGAGGAACAATATTTATGAGCTTGAGAATTTGTTAAAATCATGTGAAATATGCTACTAGTGTCAATTGGAAAAATAAAATGTCTCTGAGTATTTGCATTTGTAAGTGGATATTTGGAAGTTCAAATGGATTTATACAGATTATTCAGGATATAGTAATTCAGGAGAATATTTTTAAGATTTCTGGAGATACATCTCTTTCAGAAAGAAGGAAGAGGAACCTGGAATTAAGTTGTTGTAAATAAAAGTTTAGTGAAATTTGGGGAGAGAGGGGAAAATCCCTTTGTTATAATTGCTTTAAGATGATAGAATATAGTTGCTATAGAGGGTATAAAAGAAACAAACCCTGATTTTAAACACAAAATGTATCTGAAAAGGCTCATTTAAGTGTTCACTTCTCTACATGAAGCTAACTTGACACTTGATAAGGGTGGATGGAGAGCTGGTTATGCAAAGCGAGTGGAAATTTACACTTTTCCCTTTAAATTTATGCTTATTTATGCTAAGATTTTGACAACTTTAGGGAACAAAAGAACATCTTAAGATATAGTAAGGTTTTTTTCTCATTTTATTCTGTAAATAATCACTGAGGTATTTCTAAGAAATTGCAGTCACCATATGGTGTGGGTGGCTAGTTTGTTTCTGAAATGGAGTTGATTACACAGATCTGTGGTTGTTTGACATTATTTAGCAGAATGGATGACAGCATCATAGTCTCTGTGTTTATTTTAAAACAAACGTACTTATTTAGCTTTTTGTTTAGATAAAACAAATATTTCTTGGGTTTAAGCTTACTCTGAGCATGCAGGAGAAGACAAGCCACTAATTTGATGCTTACTTTTGGTAGAAATTTGGAAATCATCATAATAAAATATCTACTTAAGGGTAAGGTGATTAAAGAGGAAATATGCTTTAATTTATTTTCACGGTTACATGAACGTCTTTTAAATGAAAACACCACTAGTTTAAATGTTTAGAACACACTCTTCTTTAATCTATAGGGAAATGTGATGTGATCATTGCAAAATTGAACCATAGCTTCTAAAGGAAAAACTCTTATCTCCGTGATTTAATAATAAATCATTTGACTCCAAATTAATTTCATTTAGTCACTGATATTAAATTTCTGAAATTTCATATTGATATTTAGGAATTAAAGAGTTAAGGATAGATTTAAGGTAAGGAGTTTATATGAATTAAGCAGCATTGTTAATTAACTCACAGATTTTTATTGGTTTTCTCTGGTGTGAATTAATAAATGGAGAATTCGAATAATCTGTGAACTTCTATAAGAAAATAACTGAGCATTGCACTTTTAAAAATGTTTTGCAGGTGAATGTTGAAAATTCATAGTTGTAATGTATTTTGGTGAATGTGTGTCACTTAAGACTAGTTTTTAGTTATGACCCATTAAAGTTTTTGTTGAGTGTAATTGTTGGGTTGGGGGGAGGGGCTGTGGGAACTAACAAAATAGTATCTTATAAAATAGGGTAATATCTCGTATGTTCGCCTAACTGTGTGAAAAGTTCTGGAGCAATATAGTAAATGGCTTATCTGTTTTATCATAAGGAAACAAACTTTTGATTAAGGGTGCAAAGTGTACCACCGTCATCTATATACCTTATGACATCAACAATCAAAATAATTATAAAACAAGTATATTACACTTCCCTGAGTGCTAACTGACTATGAGTACTTTTGTGAAAAAAAGTCTACTCTCAACTCAAGATAATATTCATCGGTAACAAGCGAATTTTAAGTAATAGTGTAAGAAAGCACAGCAAATCTGGCAAAGGCGTCTTGAGGTTCAATTTATTTGAAACTTGCTCATCATGAGATTTAAAGGTGAGGGAATTTCAGTATTTTCTTTGGCATATGAATGACAGTGGCCACTTATATAAACTCTCTCTCTTCAATGGCTAGCAATTCTCAAAGGGCAAGGAGAATATATATTAAAGTTCTCACAAGACAAACCAACAGAGACATATTTTTCTCCTCCCTTCCTCTCTTCCTTGTAGAATCATAAGTCTACAGATTGGATATTGCATATCGAACTTAATTTTGCATTGCAGATGGTAAAGATGACTTCAAACAAAGAGAGGAGAAATAGGTCTACTGACCTATTAAGAATTAATCAGACACTGGGTGTGTCTGTGAGGGCAAGTGAAGATATCTTTACTCTCAATAAAGAACAGATAAACTTCATAGCATCTGGGTGGTTTTTAGTTCAGTCCTGCCATCCCAGTGTCCTCAGACTGAGGATGATTTTGTCGATGGGCCTATCATTGTACCTTTTTGGTTGGCACTGTTAAGAAGGCAAGTGTTTCCATTAAGGTATATGTGTCTTTTCTAAGTGAACATTCACATCTACGAGGAGTTGTATTTCCCTCAAGTTACCACTGTACCACCAAGCACTGGAATATACACACAGAGGTACCTAGAATTTATTGAATTATTTGATATTGTGCATGATATAAATGTTATTTTTCAAACAGAAAATTTTAATTGGGGATTTTCAACATTTTGAAGTCATATTTAAAGGAATGTCTTTCTATTCTCTTTACACACCAAATAACACTGGTGATTACTCATTCCCCTCTATTTATTGTGGCCACCTTCTACATTCATTTTTGAATGCTTCCAAACCAATGCCATTTTACTTTAGTTACATATTTTAATTCAGTATATTTGCCTATGGTTTCACACAGAATAATCACAAGGCATATGCCCCTCTCCATTAATGCATTTTTAGCACTTAATGAGAAAACTCTTTGTGATGGATACAGTATCAGTCAAAAAAGTGCAGATACCATATTTTTATGCAAATAACATGCACATTATACATATTTGCCAACCATGCAACCCCTTCGTGCATTATTTCCTAGGCAAGCTATGAGTGTTATATGTGTGGGTGCATTATTTATGTGGATGTGTTAATTTGTGGAAAATATGGTACATATATTATGTAATTCAAAAATTAAAATTATTTCCCATGACTATTTCCCTAGTCTCCATTAAACATCTTTAGCAAAAATGAAGGCATTTTTTTAATAGGAATTTAGTGTAATCTGGAGGCTTGTTATCAAAATTAGAATCAAGTTTTCATCACTGATGTCAGAAAGATATGTTCAAACAAAAAAAACAAAACAACAATGACAACAAAACAAAAATAGGAGAAATGGGCATCATCTTTTATCATATGCATTGGATGTGACTTTGTGATGTGTTTGATAAAAGGCATAACTTGCTTGCTAATGTAGTACAGATACAAAATACAGAAGTCATTTAAACTCCTAAGTATGTTTTAGTATATTTCTCAAATGAATACATTTCAGAAGCAGGCATGGATTTTTAAATTAAATTGTAACTTATATCACATTTCAGTAGTGTTACTCAGCTTATAGTGATATGGACAGCAATACTGATTATTTATGATGTGGTGACAGAATTAAAATTAATTAATGTCAACTTATGAAAGTACTAAAAGATAAAAAAACAAGATTTTCTTGTCCTTTGGGAAAGGTGAGGCCAATGAATTTTTTTTTTTAAATGGGGACAAAATTGTGATTTTACTTTGTGAATACAGATATTTAAAGCATACTGAAAAATGGTTTTAAATGACAGAAATAGTCAGTGAATCTATATAAATTTATAGAGGTCGAAGGAGTCAAAAACAGTAATCTTATTCTTTCTGTATTGAGTCTAAAGTGTAAAAAGTTAAAACTGTAGAACTGAAAGAAATGCTGTGTTATGCTGGGCTGTCATGTTAATTAAATAAACAACCAGAACAGTGACTCTGTGTATGAAATACATTTTGAAAAGCCTTGGGGGGAGGGGGTGCAGGCAGGCAAGGGTGAGTGATACTGGCATGAAAAAACATTGGTTATGTCTGTAGTGACATTTGTGTGAATTTGTTGTATTCTATTAGGAATTAGGGTATTTATAAACCTCAAAATTAGAAATATGCCTATATATAACACATCAAGAGTTTCAATTAATACGGTTTTGTGTAAGTAACAGTTCAATAGAGTCTTTGTAGATGTCATAGAAAACTTGTATTATTTAGTGGATCAGTAGAATGAGTTTATCTTAGGTTTTGGGTAGGAGTTTTATTTTTCAGAAAGCATTATGGTTGTAAGATGTAACCTCATGGATATAGGAACACAATCAGTGCAACAATTGTATCACGTAGTATCCTAAGAGATTTTGGGATGGTGGAGTAGTACCTTCGCATTAGGCCATAGGGAAAGTTGCTTTAGCTTTGTGAAATTATGCAGAAGCCTACACGTTTATAGTAAATTATTTACTTAATTGCCATGTGTCTCTTGTTCCATGGAGTCTTCCTCTTCAATTTTTTTGTGTTATGTT